GATCCTGTCACGGCTCTCTGCCGTGACAGGGGGAGGGACTGGATTCCCCTCTCCCCGCTCCGATCTGCCAGCGCTGACTGGCGGAACGGACGGGGGCAGGTACAGCTGGCTCTGCCTGTAGATAGGCAGAGCCAGCTGTCACTCACGCAGCTGGGCGGATCCCGTCATCTAAGTCGTGATCCGCTCCGGCTGCAGCGTCTCAGTATACCGCGAGCTGTAGCTCGCGGTATACTGAGATTAGGGTAACGGGAGGACGCTAGTTTGTGTCCTCCCGTTACCCTAAGGAGAACTATGGGGAAAAACACTGACCCCATAGTTCTCCTTTAAGGCAAGTGCTTTAACATTTTACTTTAATGTCACTTTATTATTTTAATTAATTGCAACATTATGCTTTCCCTAATTCTCCTTACTGATGTTTGCCCAAATCTCCCTCACTTCTCTTCAGAACTGCTTTGTTTTCTGGTGCATACGGTGTCAAGTCCGCTGACAAATTGTAAACTCCAGCAACATATGCAGAAAGTAAATACGGTGTTGTGAGGAAATGTAAAGTAATAGACTAACAGTACATTTCTGTGGTTTATAATACAAACACAAACCTGTAATTTGCCTTAGCCCACTTAAGCTTTATACAAGTCTGTTTAAGCCAGGACTTGAAAAATTCAAGGAGTCAGGTAGCCAATGCTCCTTAAAAATGCTGGCACCTAACTTTTGAGGGTTTCTCTAACTATTTATTAACGGGCATCGCTGCCCGTTTTTAAATTCCGGCCATTTCCGGCGCGCGCAAGGGGGCGTGTCTGAGCGGACGTCTAGAGACGCCCGCTCAGATCGAGAGAGCTCCTGGCCAGCCGTTTTTTTACTACGGCCGGCCCGGAGGTAGTTAAGGACGTCTAAAAAAAATCTTGATGGCTTCTGGATTGGACAGATTGGCTCTCGGATGTCATATTAATCTGTCCACCCCTGGTTTAAGCTGAGCCATTGTAAGACATAAATGAGTCAAGTGTTAGTGACTGGTGTTGCCTATTACCATTGTTGATTTTGTAAAACTTGCGTATATGGTTTTACTAAAAACCACAGTAACCATACCTGTTAATGTTCACAGAATCTTAATGTCAGCACAGAAGGGAAGACGGTTGCCCGGAATGCACTGATTTTACCCACTGTACAAGCTGGAGTTTAACGTACCCTACAAGCAGTATCAGTTCAGTTCTATTTGCTTTACATTCATCAATATATAAGCACACAAAGTGCTACTGCACATCAGCCCCAAGATTTAGGCATATGGGAGAAATGTATACAATTTGTAACACTTAAAAACTACAAGGGGAATACAATACTCCAACAAATGTTTTAGTGCACCTGTGCCCAAACTATGGACATCAAATCATAATTTACATATTCTTAAGAAGCAGTAAAACTATTTTAAAACAATCTCTCCTTGATCTCTGTTTTTATTGTGAAGAAATTAATTTCCAAAGATCCTGAAAAATTTAAATAGTCAAGTTCAGTTGCTTTCTAACAGTGTAGAAACACCTGTGGGTTGTTTACCAGGGATTGTTAAATCTGCTCGGGTTCCTTTCACAGGGGGTCGTAGGGGGAATGAGGTCTAACCAAGTTGCATACATACTGTTCAGCCACTGTAAAATATTTCTGGTTACTGTTTCTCAAAAAACACATTCTAATGTCGTCGTCCCCCCCAAGATAAAACCTGCCTCGTCTCTCCCCCAAGATAAAACCTGCCTCGTCTCTCCCCTTTATATTGCAGTCTAACCAAGCGAGGAGATTCGGGAAATGTGGGGTTGTGGTGGTTTTTAAATGTATTTGTGTGTTTTGACATTTTGTTACACTTTGAAAACAATGCAGTGTGTTACTGCAAAAAAAAAAAGAAATTGAGCCTCAGAAACTATACGAATACACTGCTTGGTCACTGTCCAATTGCTACAAACTTGAGGATTTTGGCTTCATTTTTGTTTTGCTTTTTTACAGTAAAGATAAAGATTGTGTGAGTGCTGCTGCTGTATTTAAATAATAATTCCACTTTCTAGGAAGAAAATGGAGTTACCCCCCCCCTCCACATCTGAAATGAGAAGCACTTCTGACTGCGATGACCAATGAGAAGCGCTTCATTTGCTAGCAGGATTTAAAATACAGAGCACAGGGTTGCACTGCTGTGTACAGTGTATGGATAGTACAATTGCAGCCACAGAGAGGAAGGAGTGTTCATCCCAAAATAAGACCCCGGGGGAGGGGGGCGAGAGAGGGCAGATTGGTGGGGGTAAATCCGTATTACATGTAGGGGAATTGTGATCAAAGCTTTGTATACCTACCTTATGAGCGCAATAAATTAGGATTAACCTATCTTTATTAAAGCAGGAGTCTGTAGGAGTTTAACTCTGTGTTAACTGCTAAATGCACAATGAAATAGAAAGTGGAAGCTGCTGCACCTGCCAAAGTAATTAGAAATGTCGCCATCCGGTCCTGCGATTTACATAGTTAAAGCTGAGCTATAAGCAAACAGCTAAATACATAGTTGAATACACATTTGGTAGTGGTTTTACCTGCTTAAAGATTTGCATTTCTGCCTATCCAGTTCTGTGATTTACACAGTCCTGCCACATGGCTGAACCAGGTTGGTGAGCACATGTGCATACAGGACACCTCCTTGGCCCCTAATGTTGCCCCTCCCTGTCCCTGTCTTACTGCTGCTCTACGGGGGATTACAAGAGTCTAACACAAAGTCAGATTCTGGTACTTACACTAGCTGCAAATACACACATTTATTTTTTTGATTTAATACATAAATGCATTAAAAGGTGTCTTTTTATATTTGCTTAAAGTTTAGCTTCAACCAATACAGCCTGATCAACTTCCTGACCCCAGGCTATGACTGGACAATGAAGGGAAATCAAAAGAGTGATAAGGTCACCTCTCTCTTCCTTTCAGCATATTTCTCGTCAGCATGCAACAGAACCTGACTAGCTCCTAGCGGTCCCCCTCCCACTCTCAGGCTGGTTTCTGTACTGCATTAAATGGCACTTTTCTTAATATCTGCTTCAAGTCCAGCAATAACCTTCTAGACAAACCCATATTGAAATAATACCATCCTAAATGTATGTTTCAGATGGCAGAGAGCTGGTATGGTCCTGTTAACTGTGCTGTTCTAATATTAGAGACAACGGATTGTGACTTGCAAGACGGTGAATCACAGATACAAAAAACTCCACAAAAAACAAAAAAACAACCTAACAAAAACACACTGGTCAATTTTGGTCTGGACCACATGATTTTTTTAAATGTCTACATTTTACTAAATGCAGGGCTTGAAATGAAGTTGATTGAAATGATGCTACCAGTTTACTCATGTACAGTAATAACTTCATTTGGAAGATTAAAAAAAGACAAAAAAATTATCATCATCTTCATTCAACGATTAAGGAAAAGCTTGAAAAAAATCATCTAGGAAGCACGGTGAATGGGAATCATAATTACATATTTTTAAAGCTTTTTTTCCTTTTCCCTTTTGAAGTCACAGACATAATAGCCTTTTTGCATGCAGGATGTGGGATGCTACCAGTAAAGAGGCATGTGAGGAATGTACATTATGATGCACGCATATGCATTTGTGGGGTTTTGGGTGGCACAAAATATGTATATACATATTTTCTTGCTAACTGTACGCTTATATAAAGGATGTACAGTTACAGCCTCTAAGAGGGGGAAAAACTTGAATGTGCATATACATGCAATTGGAAAGAAGGTGCAGACATACTCGTAAAAGCCCAGATAGGCATTTAATGACATAATTATTCCAATATCTATCTGGGCTCTGAACGATTTTCCTAGCAATATAAATAAGTAATCAATCTCACCATAGCAGCAACCAAAAACATCAACATCCCAATGCAATCTTTTATGATCCTTTTCACATGCATGGGTGCCGAGAGATATTGGCACAAGATAGCTGGTGTCAACAGCTTTGGTACCCGATAAGGTAGTTAAAGATGGAGGTCATTGAATAGTTTCAAGATGTTATATCCTTAGTTGAGTGAGGTTAAAGTGTATGCATAACCAACTTTTTATAGCTTTGGATAGAGCAGTGAAGGGTTAAATGCCCTATCAAGTTATTTATGTGCTCTGTGTCCTGCTGAGATTTCTCTTTAATTCTTGTCCTGGAACGGCTACAGAAAGTTAGAGTGAATCTCCCCAAACTGAGAGGTAGACCATGTCACTTGTGTAAGTGTTTAGAGTATAGGCATAGTCTAAACTTTTTTGATAGTTTAATATAGGGAAGGGTTAAAAGTCCTTTTAGGCTATTTTGTTTTTATTTGACTTTACTTTCTGCAGCTGGGATGCCTATGGCTGTGAGAATCTTGCAGTGCCTAATGTCATTTGTAGGTTCACCACAGCTGGAGGGCCGGAGGTTCCCCACACCTGCATTAGTCCAAAAAATGACATAATTTACCAGTAGGACCCACCCCCAATAGGATTTAATTGGATTCACCACCATGTCAGATTTGCCGAAGCCAGGCAGATTTGCCCAACACTAGCCTTTACATACTTTTCAAGTCAGGTCATACAAGTCTTTATGAATATAAAAACAGCTTGAAGCAGGTCAAATGCAGGTGTAAAGGAGGTCAACTGCATGCCATTTTAAGTCTGAATGATCTCAGAAACATCTCAAGTGATTTTAAAGCCAAGCTCATTGACACAGCCTAAATCCCCTGAACGCAGGCCCTTATTCAGTGTGTATATTGTTGATCAAAAAGGAAATAGCTAATACCAGTTTCTCTGTAATACATTAATAACTTATTGAACATCATTAAATGGTTTGCTAGTTTCAGTTGTAGCCTTACAAAAGTAACACCAAGGTAGAATGTTCATGTCCACAAATTTGATTTTGCATAATGACTTTTGGGAAAGTGTGAGGGAAAATAAACATGCAGTGTTGCATAAACTGCTGCCACTTTAGAAATATTAGATAAGAACTCTTATAAGTTACTTACAGCTTCTGATTTGGGAGGCACTGGAGGTGGAGGTAAGGGTATATCACAACACTTGCTGGTCAGAAGAGATCCGGGAGATGACTGAGAAGATGTGCCACATTTGGAATGAAGTGACCCCTGAAAAGCATCACATTTGTTCTTTTCACTTTGTGAACGGGTGAGGGGCTGTCCTCCTCGCTTTACTGTTCCCATTTCTAGCCAGAGCTCCTCATAGGCAAGCTCTGGCTTGGCTGGTAGACTAACAGATTCCTCGCCTGTTTCAGGGAAGAGGTAATCACTTCCACTGTCACCAGAGTCCTGGTACTGTGGAGAATCTTGTGGGTACACTGCCCAATCTCCACAAATATCCCGACAACCATGCAGGTTAACCTCACTGTTTCCATGCAGATTGTTTCCATAAACACAGACAGAAAGTCGATGGAAAGACTGGGTCAGTTCATCACGGGCATAGCTTAGTGAGTTGGGTATGTGACTGTGCCCAGAACAATAGCTCTTTTTTGGACTCTTACATTCTTCATTCCAGTCTACTTTGACATCCCTCACCGCCCGGGAATATTCCTCAATATCGAACTGTTCTTGGCATATGTTGTACAAATGCTGAACTATGGACTCTTGCCACACTTCACCTTTCGCTACGTTTTCTGGAAGGCTAAACTTTGGAACAGACAAATGTAAAGGAAAATGCATGGGAATGATTTTGCTGCCACGAAGCACACAAGAAACAACAACAGTCTTGGTTTGAATGTTGACAAACTTATACCGATGTCCCTCCCGAATAAAATGAAGGTCATATGGGTTACGGGGAGGTGAGCTAGGCACAGTCACATTCACAGGCAGTCGTGTTTTCTCTACGATGTTACGGATTGTGTGTTCCCCTTCTTGCATTTGAATCTCTAGAGGGCTGCGAGTGCTAAACCTCCCTTTGCATTGGAATGGAAGGCTGATGCTTTCATTAGTTCTATGATTCATACAGATCAGGCAAGGCATTTTGCCTTTACCCAATTTGCTGATTGAGTTCAATTTTCCAATTTTCTTAAAAATGGTATTCAGACGTGATTTCTCCTTGGATGTTTTTGCATACAGAATTTCAGCCTGGCCCATTAACGTGAGCTCATCTCCTGTACACAGCGTGATGTTATAGACTTCGGTGTCTTCATTGCACTCTCCTGATGCAACCTGAAATTCAAAACAAATTACAAGGATTACTACACAGAAAGTATTTTTATGCAAAATAAGCATTACGTACAACTTAAGTAACATGTTATAACAAAACAAGCACCAAAGCTTATCACAAAGATTTTACAAACAGAAAGTGTTCTATATGAATAGTTCTAGATCTATATCTCTTGACTTTAAGGATAAGCCATTCTCTTTGAAAGTATTACCTTAAATACAGTATTCCATTGTTGTGTTTGGGCTGCAATATATGGTCTTTTACTTGCAATCAAGCAAATATTTTGTGCCGGTAAACCCAAAACAAAATCATAAAAGCCTCCTTATTAAATTAGCCTAACTATATGTGCCCTTTATTTATTTAAAAAACCTTTCAATATAGAAAAATACCTGTTAATCCTGCTTATTACTTTGATTTCCTTGTTCTTGGTGGCAACGACCTAGAGGATGATTAAGTCTGTGCAGCATTGCCACCATAGTGCACATGCTCCTGTTAAATAATGATCTGTCACATTCTATCACCCAGCAACCCATGCCCGCAAGACCGGTACCGATACTTTGTATCATCCCAGCAAGCGTTAACTTTTATGAAGAATGAAGAATTGTGAACTGCTTGTCATCAGAGCGATGTTTGTGTGCCTTACCTTCAAAAAAAAAAAAGGATAAATAGGGCATCAGATAAAAAGTGCACACTAGCAAGTTTCCCCTGGAGAAGCTGCTGTCACCCATATACTTTGTATGTATGCACATGACTGACAGCAGCTCCTCCAGGTAGCCTTGTCAGCATGCTCTTTTTATCGGATGCCCTCTTTATTTGTCATATAATGTGACATGCTGTGGCTTAGACCCACCCATTGACCCAGGCCGTGTAGAGCAGAGGAGAGCCAACATGAATTGCATTAAAATTTATTTTGTTAATTATTTAATGCGTTTTATGGATGGATTCATTGTTGTTTATGTACCCAGCCTACAAGCATGAAGAGAGCATCACAGTTTACTGAAATTTACGATTTGGTTTTAGTCATCTGAATTGTTTTAGTCTAGTTTTAAATCGACAAAATATCATAAGATTTTAGTCGACAAAATATCATAAGATTTTAGTCGACTAAATCTACAGTAGATTTGGTCTACTAAAATCCAGTGGGTTTAGTTAAAGAGTAATTTAAGAATTTCTCTAGAATTTCCATTCTCATTATATACTCCTCGAGTAAACATCTGGTAACCCATTATTTATGATATTAAGTTTTGAACATGCAATGCAGACACATATTCAACAGTTGTGATATATAACATGCCTTTATTTATCTTAACATTAGATTAAACCAAGTCTTATAAAGAAACAATAATATTGAGTATTTTCAACAAAGGACCAGTAATTCGATATGCATTGATTATAACAAATTGCATATGCCATTCTTCATTCTTTCAAGTAGAAGTGCAACTCTAAAATATTACAATGAAAAACTATATTGGCTGTAATGCCATTGCACATAATTACCTACTAGCCGTCTATTCAGGATGGAACCGGAACGGGAAGTCCAAAGTTCTGATTGGATCTCTTCCCAAATCGTCACTCCTTAACATTTTAGTACAGTTTAGGTAAATTGACTAAAATGTCGATACATTTTAGTCATCATAATTTTGTTTTTATTTAGTTTTAGTCACTAAAAAAGTGTTGTCGACGAAAACTATGACGGAAATTAGTAGTCGGCGAAATTAACACTGCGCAGCTCTGACACAGAACACTTCATTGTGGCTGGGCACCTGAAGTTTCTCGAGCCTGGATTTTTTTTTAGGGTCTATGATCCCACTGAAGAGATTACACCTCACTTCCTGACCCTGTAACACTATAACAAGAAATCAGGGGGAGTGGATATCACTGAAAAAAAGACACAGACAGCAGTAAAAAAAAAAAAAAATAGAGCCATTATCTATGATGTCTCTGTTCCCACCGAAGACATATCTATTAGTTCCTGTCCCTAAGGCACCCTGTCATAGGTACAGGAAATTAAGGGCTATCTTTCCGATGGACACACAGGCAGCAACAGAAACCTGTCTGAAACATTTAAGTACATTCAGGGTCCGAATAAGGATCAGGAGGTCTACAGTTTCCATATAAAGCTAATGTAAACAAAATACAGGGGATATGACCTTGAACTAACAAGAGGCAAGTTCAAAACTAACCTAATAAAACTAACTAATAAAGTATTGTTACGGAAAAAGTAGTTGATTGCTTGGAACAAGTCAGTCAACAGTAAAGGAGTTAGAGCATGCTTGAGATAAACCTAGATCTATATTCAAAAGGTTAAAAAAGTAGAGAAAAAAATCCAAATGAAAACAAATTAATTTTAAAAATGGTCATTTCTACGGTCAATCGAAAAGAAGGTTCAGCAGGAGATGGGTGTTTAATATAATTAAATATAATTTTGAGTGCTTGCAATGGGTTCATGCACTTTTGTCTTCACTATTGCATGATTTAAATCAGAGAATAGGTTCTGTTGGAGTCTGTATAAAGCAAGACAATAAATCAATAGAAAGCCGATATTCTAATTAGAAGACCTCCACACACAGCTCTTGCTTAATTTAGTGTAACGCATAAGCTACAGGAGTACATTTATGGACATTCGAAAGACAATATATTGTTATCTCTGGCAGGACTTACATGATCAGATATGCCATTCATTTTGCTGAAGTTTGGGTGACCCGAGGCCATTCTTTCAATTATTACATGGCACATAAACACTCTACAACACTTCCTTCAAACCCTATTTGTTAATGCATTTAAGATAGGGAATTTTCTTAGGAGAAGAGGGGCAGTTCTAAATTAAACACAGATATTTCCATGTGTATTTAAAAAAGAATTAAAGCCAAACCTTTCTTTGGCATTACTTCTCATAGGAGTTAAATAGGATCCCAAAAAGAATGTGGGAATCCACCCCAGATTACTCTCTTTGACTGACTGCCCCACTAAATGTTCCTAAAAGTGTGTAATATTTACCCCAGACCCAATGTGTTAAACCAATCTAATATAAAAGCCTTCAAATTGCAATTGGAAACTGTTGGAAAAACTGGTTGCTGTAACTATAATAGAGAGATAAAAGTGAACCTGAAATCAAAAAATTACAATTGGCTATGTTATAAGTAACATCTAGAAATGTGAATGGTTTCTAAATATTACCCTAAAAATGTACATTTTGTGTAGAACTCCTAATAAAAACTAGCAGTTTACTTCTTGGCATGCGAGTGTACCTAGGCACTCTGTGCCTAAAGCATCATAGCTGTATATCTGTAGGGTGGGAATTAAAGGCATTGTGACTGTTTCAACAGATATGGAGATGTCATTACTGTTCTGATTGCTGGAGAAGAATCCATACTGCATGCATTTCTCTGCTTTGGCACCATTCATTATGTCAATCTGTGTTCAATAGCAACCTCAGATGCTGTTTTTTTTAATACTCCCCCACCAGTTACCAGGTCACTAGTCATCAGGAGATTGCTCTGACATGAGGAAGCAAAGCCCTATTCCTCTACCAATGGCCGCCCCTCTGACACAGAATAGCAGCGCAGAACAAAACACGTTGAGTAATTGGGAAAAGATCAGCTGCAGGGAGCCTACTGGCAATACTGATGACTAGTCCTTTGCCCTCTGCTGACCTTATTATGGGCAGTTTTCAACATTTAGTTCCTGGTTCAGTTAACTGTTTACATTACATTCACTGATCCTGTGTACTTGTATATTCCCCATGAGAGTGTTGTCACTGAAACTCTTGAAGTCAAACTTCATGTAAACCTCTCTTTCATATGTGAATTCTGGATAAATAATCTAAACAGTTTGTTTCATAAAAAATGTAATCTTTTGATACCATTCAGTACGTAAAGTGATGCTTTACATGATGCTCAACTTCTGTTTTTACAGTTAATACTGTCATTCTTTTTGCTTGTGGGAAGATTATGCATTAGCAGACGGACGAGCATATTTGCAAGAACAGATGATCACCTCAGAGTCATTATAACTGTCAAGTATTTTCAGTGGGAAGACATTTTAATATGCCTTATTTTTTCCACTTCAAAGTAGTATATATTAAGTGTAATATATTAAACAAAAGAAGGAGAATTATTAAAGAACTCCGGGCAATTAAAAAAAATTAACCCTTTCAGTGGGGCTACCCCACACCGCAAGTGCCACGTTCTTGTTTTGGTCTAGGGTCTAAAATAAAAAAGATACACTTACCCAAACCTTGGTCCTGTGGTGGTGATGGCTCACCTCTCTTCCCCTCCACTATGGCTGTGGAATGTCCATTGTCATCTTCATTTCTAATACACTGTATAATAGAAGTGATGATGTCACAGGGTCATTAGAGTGCTGGAGATTGCGGCAGGGAGTGGTCTAACAGCCAGGCGTATATCTTTTTTTTTTTCCGACCCTAGACCAACACGAGCAGGGAACCATTGCAGTGGAGGTTAACAATCTTTCATGCGGCCGTAACAACAAAATCTTATTTAGCAACACACGTGCCATGTTGTCTTAAAACAAATATTTTCAAACAATTAAGGTCTTTGATAAAAAAGTAAGGCTCTCTAGTGTAATAATATATTGCAAAGCAGTAATTAGAGTCAGGTTTTCCACTTGGAATCAGGTGTTCCAGTCAATTCGGGTGTGGGCTGCACTATAAATAATAGAAAAGTTTTGGTCATCTGCTCTTAACAATACGAGTCAATAATAAAAACTAGAAATGGTTGATAAAGGTTTAAAAAGATGTGGGCCGTGATCAGGTTATAGTTGGCTAGATCAGCACCACTCATTTTCGTCTGAACAGTGACTGCAGCCAGACCACTTGTCACTGTGTGCCTTATGAAAGGGCTAATAAATGACCGAAGCATTGCATTTTTTTGCAATTAATAAAAGGCCTTCTGTTTGAGCTTTCAATGCGTCAGTGAGGTTCCACTATTTTAGATGAAGATCAGATCTAATTTTGTAAGTCATTCATTTAGGGTTCACAAAC